ATGTGAATGGTGATGAGGCTTCAGTTTTTTTTATCACTAAAGTTATCAAAATAGTATCTATATATAATTGTTTAATTAGTAATGAAGTTTACTCTCTATCTTATTAATTAAGGTTTGAATTCTTAAAAACTACTAGAAGTTAATTCTTTATAAATTTTTTATTCTAATATAAATGACTTGTTTTTAACTAAATTTATACAATTAGATGTGTCAAAAAAAAGGTGAAAAGAGAGGAACCATTAATTAGGTATAGAAGGTGCTGTTTGGAGTCTGGATTATGCTCTCACACGTCATCTCTTGGTTTCCAGTTTTCAACAAAAATTAAGAATAACAAGAGAGGAGAACAATAAAGAGTTGGGAGAGAATGAGCGGCATGTGAAATGGTCACAAGTAGTGCTTCAAAGGTACATTACAAAGAGGAGTTGAATCCATACATTGCCCTGTGAGACAACATATCTTTTTGTTATCTTAATCTTAATAGAATCTAATCCAACAAGAGTCACGCAGTCATGATATGTACGTGGGCTTTTCCTATTGCTCTTTTTCTATTTTTATATGAGTAATGATGCAGGAGACAAAAACGGGAGACGAAATGGGAGACGACAGGTGATGCAAGGGGATCAAATTAGTAATTGCACCATACGCATGAATCTTGTATTACTTGTCATCCCCTATTTCTTCGTCCGTTTTCGTCCCTGTATCATTACTCTTTTTATATTACAAAAGTTGTATTTTATTACTATTAATAGGGGTAAGCCCTATTAATATAAGAATATGCCTCCTTCATTCATGGTTAAGTAAAGTACATTTTACATGATGGATTATATTTTATTTATATATATATATAGGTCAATATGTATCAATCTCGACTTAAAAAAAATTTAAAATCTCAATTTACATTTAAAAATTAAAATTTTAATTTTAATTTTTTTTAAGAATCATAATTGATATGTATTTTTTCCATATATAAACATGTATAAATTAGTGGATATCCATTCATGAGGAGGCTTCTATAGCACTTACCCATCTAAAATGATTATAACAGGTGAAATCTATAAAAGAGAACAAAAATGACATAATTATAATGTGATATGTATTTTAAATTTATAATTATGATGTGTATATTATATGATTAATTTTTTATTTAAAAATTTATTTATAATATTATATATTTATTTAATAATATTTCATAATAGCATTACCAGAAAGAAAAGGACACACAGGTGTTGGCTTTCTTATCATGTGAAAAAGCAGAGATGCCATCTCCTTTTTCCCAAAGGCCAGGTAATGTTCCTGGCCGTTCTTTCTTCCTTTTTAGTACCGCACTCAAGATGATGATGCTGATATTCCGGTTACCGTACGACATGTACTATTTCCTCTTTATTTTCTCAAGTACATTCTTTGCTTTTCCTGTGTCTTGGCTCTTGCTAAACGACTACGGAACAGCTTTGATTTCGTCACATCATTTTGCAAAAGAATAATAAAAATTGCATATCTACATTCAATCACCATGCCAAGATCATACAATAGTCCAGATCATGTTTAAGCAGGATTTTGAAGAATGTTTAACACAACTTTGGTTATGGCCACATGAAAGGATTGTTAAGACCACACAAAATTCATATAAATGTATTTAACTTGAGTGTTAAGAATAGTTAATAAATATAATTATTAATAAAAACAGTTTATATATTTTTTTAATAATTTAAAATTAACTAATAAATTTATATTTTTAAATACTTTAACAGTTATAGAGTACAAACTAATAAAATTAGATAAACTAAACATATTTTCAATATTTTGTGTGGTCATAAGAGGACCCCGCTAAACCCTATTTTTTATCTTACAATCTCATGCTGCTCTGATTCATTTTCACTTGTTGTCAACTCATTTCAGAAACAGGGAATAATTGACAATTTTGAACAAAGAATTTGATTCCCTCCTAAAATGGGGTTGAAGTTTCAGCATGCGAAAGCACCGATATGGTAAGCAAAACCTGAACATGAGGTTCCAAAAATATTGACAAGATTGCCCAGAGGATTCACATCGGTGTTAATGAGCAAACTTCTGATCATGTTATCTGATAAAATGCCAGTCTCTGCATGAAAAGGGAACATAAAAAAGGTAATGCTTTCGCAGGTTGCTGGCTTGCTGCATTGCTAGGACACTAGATCAGGCTTCAACCATGGGCTCAGGGTCAGATTGCTCGGTGCGAGACCTGTTTGACTGACGTACGGAGTTGAAAAGGGTGTCCTTGATAACCTAAGCAATAAAAGAATAGGGGAAATTCCATGTACAAATGATTAAAGTGAATGTAAAAATTATCTATGAATGTATAAACGAGATAAAAATAGGGTGAATATTCTAACTAGAACAGCCTGATACCTGTGACATTAAACCATGGACCTGCTCAACGGTTATTTTTGCACTATCCCGAGTAATCTTGGCAAGTTGTGATTCTTCCTGCAGCTTGAATGTTGACATGCACATTAAAGATATTGAAGGAAAGATAGTTGAATTCAAATCGAAAACATTTTGTGAGGCTATTCTGTACCATACACATCTACTGAAAATCCATCCATTTAGTTGGCAAGGAAGAAAAAAAAAAAAATTCAACTTTCATAGTGCAGGAAAATGCTTTCTCTGCCTTTTTCATATGCTTTCTCTAATAGAGTATTTCAACTTTCATAGTGCCCAGCCCATAAAACATAATTTAGGAACTTCAACCATTAATAAACCATTAATAAATAGCCTTGGTATTTGTCATCAAAGAATTTTCAACAAAAAAAATTCCATCCCTCATAATGGCTTTAAAAAACCATACAAATAAGAGAAATCATACTAACCTCCTTCTTCCGAGAAGGTCCAACCAATGGGCCAATGCGAGAGTGAGCAAACTGATTCTCTGCTTGCTCCAATTTTTCAGCTAGATGATGTAAAAAAAACCATATAAACCCAGTAAACACAACAGTTTGTTGATCTCACTCATTAACAACTACAATAACCTCTAACATGGCAACTTGGCAAGCAACCCAGAAAAAAAAAATCTAGAAGATAACTAAAGATAACTATTTAAGAAGGGATTACCTAAATCTGATATTTGTCCTGCAACATAATCTCCGTTGCCCAAGAGAGGTGAAGATGAAAGGGTATTCACCCAATACTTGTTCCACAACAGATCCAAAAGGTGGCTATCAAGAGAGGACTTAAAATAAGTGATATCCAATGCATAATACTGCCAAACAACAACAGCAAGAAATTAGGTCAACAATTCAATTAAATAAATAGGATCTACAAAGGAACATTCATGACAACCTACTAACCTGTTTACAGTGCACACCAAAGTCTTCAATCTTGTTGAGAGGAATGGTCTGATACTCAGAGATAGGATCATCTGGAGGCTTATACCCATCTGGGTATGTCCTAAAAGCTCCAATCTCTACTTTCCCAGCAGAAACAGTCCTAGTCGGATCAATAACAACCGCTAGGAAGGGCTCCTGAAACTGTTGGTTAAGCATTTGGGTTGAAACATCAATACCAGAAAGCCAGCACCCATAGCCAGGATGAGAGTGGTACCACCCAACAACATTCTCCAAACGTCCAGCCTATATCATAGCAAAATTTTCAAGAAATCTTGCTGTCATAAGAAGAGAACTACTCAAGTGAAACAGAATGGTTTTCAGTGCTGATGCTAAATGTAACATATTGTTCCACCTGAGGGAACTAAAAGCCAAAATTCTTAATCACGGGGATATCTAATGACCAAAACAGCTAGTTCTAGTGGTGGTAGCTACATCATACAGCAAAGATAGATAACGCCGCTCTCAAACACAATTAGATCAGACAAAAGAAACCAAATTCCCAATTACCCAATTTCCACTAGGATTATAGCAGAGTTTATATGAATTCATAACCACTCTTCCTCTCCTAAAATTTTTCTAAGCAAAATCATACAGCACAAATAGGATTACAGTGCCTCAAATCTACCAAGGTTTTCAGCTATTCAGATAAACATTAAAACGAATAACAAATTAACCTCTAATTTTCCATCATTTATCAACCAGCAATAATTTCGAATTACTAAAAAAGAACTATTAATGCGTCCTCTTCCTCAAGAACAAACACCTTCAACACATTATTCAACTTCATCAACATTAGCGTATGAATTACCTGCTTGTTGGTCTGCGAATAATCCACCATATACTCGTACGCATCAGCCTGTGCATTAACCCTAGTTTCAGTCCCTTCAACAGGCAAGGCAAAGGCGTCCATGACGATGATGGCATCGCCGTCCGTCTTGCCCTGCATCAGTCCCATGACCTCGATGGTACCGCCGGATCGGGCGTGAACTACCATCTTCAACAGTGCGAGCGCCGATATCTTGACACGCTTGAAGTAATTAGGGTCATTGGCCCAGGGCCTCTCATGCTGGAACTTGGCCTGCGCCACGTCGTCGTAGTAGAATATGGAGTCAGATGATGGGTCTTGGTTCTCTACTGTTAGAATATTGTTCTCCAATTCCCATGTCTTTTGCGCTATGGCGGAATCCATTGTTGCGATTCAACAGAGCGAAGTGGTTGGCTCAGTAGCAGGGGAGAAGAAATTGAGAACTGAGAAATATGAAGGTGAGGGTTTTGTATAGAAAGAGGTGGACCTCCGCCGACGATGGAGGCCCACTCGTTTCGGGTGTTAGCCCAATAGCATTCTTCCGAGAAAACTTA